GCCCTGAGCCGTGGCCAGTGCTCGCTGCTCTGGCTTTGCCGCAGGAAGGGAGGCAGAGCTGTCTCGTAAGGCTCTTGATTCCTCTCTTCTCGCATAGTGAATCAGAGGACACTAACGGCCGACCTGAAGGACCTGCACACCACCGTCAGTGACATACAGATGGCCTGTCACAGCATGCCAGCCACCGCAGAGGACAGATTTGCAATTGTGATGACTGTATCCTTCTGTAAAAGGGGCAAATCACCAACTAGTGCCCTGGAGGGAAACCATTCTGTGTTCCTTATCCCTCCTTGGTAAGCAGGGTCCCCTCGCGTGTGGCTGCAGCCTGCGTTTGCAGCGGGGCCTTTCTCAGACCTGAGGTGAAATCCAGATGTTAGAGAATGATTCTGATCCGTGCCCGGCCTGCCCTGTGGCTGTTTTTCCTTAAAAGCTGTTTCTCTCAGTCCTTTCTGGAGAGCGCCCAGCCTGCCATGCGCTCCCTGGACGACCTGCAGCACAAGGCCATGGAAGAATTCAGCAAGGTGTTGTCCTTCTTTGGGGAAGACTCGAAAATGACAACTTCTGAAGCTTTCTTCGGCATTTTTGCAGAATTCATGAGCAAGTTTGAGGTGAGTTGTGTTTTTCAAAGCCCCCCAGCAAGGGGGTTCCTGTCAGACACCAGTGAAGTGTGGGAACAAGATGGGCATTTTGTGAGCACCTGAGCGTAAGGTGCAATTTTTCTAACGTACGAGCTGGTTAGCTGGTACGTGAGGCTGAGGTGGGGGTTGATGGTCCAAGCACCAGCCCCATGGAAAGCAAAGCAGATGTTGTCATGGTCTGATGTTCTTGGTTTGTAGAATCACAGAACAGTTTGGGTTGGAAGGGGCCTTAAAAATCATCTTGTTCCAACCTCACCCAGACAGGGACACCTTCCACTAGATCAGGTTGCTCGAAGTCCCGTCCAACTGGGTGGGAAGTCAGAGCAGAATTAGGTCTGCACTGGCCAGTACCATTGAAACATCTCTCTGTCCACACCAGCCGCCCTTGCTGACCCTCAGCTCCTGCTCTCTCGTCTCTCCCTGCAGCGGGCACTCAGTGACGTGCAGGTCGGCGAGAGCCAGCGCAGCCCCCGGGTGACCTCCCCCCTCGCCTGGTGACAGGTGACACGAGGTGCAACAATTGATCGCCAACAAAGTGCAATTTGCTCCTGTTGAGTTTGGTTGTAAATACGCTGCTCTCACCTGCTGCCACCAAGCAGAACCACGGACCGAGGGGTCGGGACAGTTTGGACACTGAAAAGGCACCGCAGGTGATGGTGTGTGGATGTGGAGGTGAGGCACGGGCACACGAAGGGAAATATCCTGCTGGTCTTGACAACAGCTTTCTTGGCATCCTCCATTCCCAGTGTTTTACTGAGTCAAGGATTTCAGATGCGTCTCTCCCGCATTTCCAGAACACGCACATCTGGCACCAACAGCTGCTGGAGACCTTCCCCACATCCTTGTGGTTCATGCCCAAGCACAGCTGTGCCGGGAGTCAGCCCTCGCAGGACACAATTTTCCCCAGGAAGGCGCCGCTCGTCCCACCAGCCACAGGGGAGCCAGAGCAGCCCGGGTGGGGAAGGGAGTTGGGGGGAAAAGGGCTCCCACCACCGCCTGCTTCCCCAGGACGCTGAGGTGCGATGTAGCTGAGTCCCTCTCCGAGCCCCCTCCAAGCCCTTCACCGTGGGACTGGAGTGGAGATCACAGAGAGGTGGCTCAGAGGCTTTAATCCCTTGCCATTGCCAGACAGCAGCAACAGAAAGCAGCACGACCTCGCAGAACCCTTCAGGCATGTCCCTGTGGTCCCAAATAGGGATCCAGTCTGGTTCTACCCAGCTGCGCTGGAAAAATCAGGAAAGCTGAGTCCTCCTTGGCCCTCAGCTTTGCTTAAAGGTGTGGCAGAGACTGACAGGTCTCGAAATCTTCCCAAGACCTTAAAACTGTCAGCACTAGGCTTATTTGAACTCGCCAGGAGACGTAAATCCCTGAGCATTTGGGTGCCTCCTTGGAAAGTACAGAACCCCTGGTAGCCTAAAAACGAGAGGATTCCTCTGCAGCCCTGAGCACCGCCTCCAAGGCACGGCAGAGTCCAGCGAGAAACCCACCCCCTGCCCTCCTTTACTCACTCCCCAGGGCTGGAGTCCCTTTGCTGTGCGCCCAGGCCTTCCCGCTGAACATACCCAGGGGACTCTAGGAGTGCGCGCGTCCGTCTTTCAACAACATCTGATTGTAACTTAGATGACTTAACTCCCTCTGAGACGTCCCCCCGGGGGACGAAAGGGCTAGCAGCATCCCGCGGGCAGCGCCTGCGCCTCGGGGCGACGTGGGACCCCCAGAGCTTTGGGGCAGCGAAACCCACGGAGTTTTAAAAGACCGTGAGGCGTTGCTCTGCGCAAAACGCGTCCATTGCCTTTCAAAGCCCACGCGCTCCGACGTCGTGCCCCGTGGCAGCGCTCCAGCGAGCTGTAACGTAGGAAACCTTCCTCCCGCCCGTTGCCAGAGCGAGAGCTCTTCCTGCAGCCTCTGCTCGAGTACAGAATCACCGACCGGTGCATTATCTACGGGAGACCTTATGACCATCGAATCTTCGGTTTTCAGTATTTTTTTTTAAACCCTGCTGTAGAAAGTGAAGTATATTTTCACAAGTGTTCTCCGTTCATACAGCTTTAAGTGCCAGGTAGTTTCTAGCGTTGTGTTCCCAGAGGTGCAGCCCTGCCTGTCTCTGCCCTGAGAGTGGGGACGGGGCGATGCTCGCTCAGCTCCACTCTCCGTTTTGGATGTTGCACATTGCGTTCAATTGATTTTATTTATTTATTTATTTTCTAAAAACATATTCGGTATTTAAAGCACTGGAGGTTCTTTCGAAACTGTCGTTAACAAATGTGAAAATGCTGTTCATAGATTTTGCTACGCGTCGTAACTTTCCAAAATAGTTAGAACTCCGATCCCTTTGGTATTTTTACGTGAATATTTTCAAAGAACCAGAACTCCTGCCGTATGGTTATATTGTTTGATAACGGGACTACGGATATTCACGCCTCGGTCTCTACCCAACGCCTATGTGCTATTCCTAAAATAAAGCTACTGCCTTCTGCCTCCTGACTGCACGTGCCTCTGTGCTCTGCACGACAGCTGCAGGTGAGAGCGTGAGGAATTGGGCATCTGGCACGACTGTGACCACGCTGCTTCATTTCAGCCCCTTAGGGACCTACAGTAGAGAGATGCAGGATCTGACCTTGCTGGCTTCGGCCGGGGAAAATAACTGCATAATTGTAAAAAGACCTGCCTGCGTGCCAGCATTCAGGCTAGGGACAGGAACACAAGCAGTGAATTCTTAAGATAGCGTGGACTTTTTTCTGCAGCCTTCAGAAGAAAACACCTAGCGAGCGCACACGCCAGTGAATTGTTCCCCTCTGAGAAGGAATTCCTGGCTGAGGTTGAGTTTACGTCCCTGGAGCAATTTATCTCCCTGTACGCTAACAGCAGACAGATAGGGACCAGCTCCGTATCAGATTTCCTGGTTGTAGTTTAGCCTGTTTACAACAGCCTTGCTCCATCGCGGCGTCCTCCCCGGAGGCCACGGGGCACCGGTGGCTGCGAAACAGCTCCGAACAGAGTTAACAAAATTGTCACGGGTAGAAGCTCCTTGCTGGGTACACGTGGTTAAAGCGCTCGAACCCCTCCTGAGGCTCCTTTAGCCGATCAAACCCAACTCTTGGGCAGCCCTGGGGCATCTCGAGCTGCCCGGCACACTCTGAACCCTCCCTGGAGCCTCCTGCACGGCAGTTGGCATCATTCGCCACACACGTTTGTCATTCTGTTTTGTCTTGACAGCTGCAAACGTTAGGTGATTTTTCCCCCAAATCTGCGCACTGGCTGGATGCTCTCCTTTTTTCAGTCTTGTACAGCCCAGCCTGGCTCGTGGGACTGTCTTCTCAGCAACGTCTGTCCTTGGAAAGGAAACAGGACCTCAGGCAGGAGCCCGGGCTCCGTGCGGGGAACGCGGCTGTGGCGTGGCCCCTGCTCCACCGGGCTCCGCTTCCCTCCTCTGAGAGACACAGGGAAACAGTGACCCTGAAAATCCCTGGGTATGTTCCAGACATTGGATTATTTAAGGATTTTCACTCGTTCCCACAAGAAATGGAGGGGGGAGGAAGGGGGGAAGACCTCAAAGAGGAAATGAGCAGCTTTAGTAAAGTCACGGTGAGGACACGATCGCGGCTCCCGTTGGTGGACTGGCTGGGATTAAAGAGAGCCAGGCTGGCACCTCCAAGCCCGAGTGGAACCATGTATGAGTATCTTGATAAGAGTTTGAAGGGCCACAACCTGTAGTTGTTCTCCAGGAGCTGTGAAAGATGCTACAGAGACAAACAGAGGCCGCAGCTTCACATGGGAAGGGCTGGGAGTCAGCATGACACGGCACAGAGCGGGAGGTAGCACAAGGCACCTGGCTCCTGTATTTGAAGCCCCCAGGGATCTGCCTTATTCTAACACAATTTAGGAAAATCTGGGTTTTCCAAATTCTATCGGAGCAAATTAAAATATCTCCAGTCGCAAGATTCAAAGACCTTGAACTACATCCATCAGAGCTGTGTGCTGCGTGTGGACCAGGGAGATAAAACATAGATACCTGGATTTTCCCACGTTGCTCCCTGGTTTCTTAGGCTTCGGGTGCTTTTTTTTTCTTTTCTTTCTTTTTTTTTTAATTTAACATATTTAACTCACCTCTGTTGCCAATCTAGAAAACTGAAAAGCGAAGGTGAGAGCCGAGTTTCTGATTCTAGCAGCAGAGACTGTCAGAGCAGGGTTAAGTTTCGTACCACCTTTGGTAAAAGCAGTTGGTCACAACATCGGATGCCCTGGGCTCAGAGATCCTGCTCTCCCTCTTCAGCATCACTCTCTGCGTGCTGTTTTGCCTCGTTTATCAGGTTTTTCAGATGGATGATGCCAAAACCAAAACCTCCAGTCTGGTGCCAGAAGGGGACCCGATTGTGGGATTAACCTACAGACTCAGAAACGAGTTACGAAGCCCAGCCCGTGGATTAACTCGTTGCAAGGCTCAGGCAGAAACTTCAGAGACTGGACTAGCTCTCAGCTCCCCCCTGTGTTGTGGGCTGACAGCTTGAGAGGACACCAGCACAGATATTTTTATTGTTTCTTGTCCCTTCTCTAGCTGCGCAGATTGCTTAAGAGAATGGCACTCTGTGGAGTTTGACCCGTGACAGTGAAAATAATCCACTTCCCACCCGAGCCACGGGAGACCGAAAGTTTAACTTCGGGCAATTAGTTTAACTTTGACTATAAATATTCCTTCTCGACTCCTTGTGACACCGTTAACAGTTCCGCTGGCAAATCCCGATTCTCTGGCAATATTTAAGCTGCCTGTCAGTTGGCAGAGGCTCGGTGGTGCCCGGCGCAGGGAACAGAATGAGACCCGGCTGAGCGCAGTAAGTTCCCTTTCAGCTTCTACCTCGAGCTCCGGTGGGTGCGGGCGGGAGGGGCTGCTGCCAGGCTGCCGTCGGGCCCCGGCGAGCGGCGGCGTCTTTAGGAGGTGGACAGACCTGGGAACCCTTAAAAAATCTCGTTGAGGAGGCATTTCGAGCCACACAGTCCCGAGATCCACGTGGGCTGCGTCTCTGCCGGCACCATTGATAAAGGGCTGGCTTCAGCGGCTTTCATTTAATGCCACGGGGGTTTCTCCCGCCACAACTC